TGTCTCCCAAATTACTTGCGAACGAAAGTCTCATGCCACTCTTAATGCCAAGCAGTTAAAAGAAATAGAATCGCTAAAGTCTATGGTTAAATCACTGGAAAGCATAATATCTTCGATGCAAAAATCTTCATCTTTGAAGGATTCCGATATCGCCTCTCTTGAGACAAAAATAAATGAACTGGAGGCCCGCCTTCTCATAAATTCGAAGCCAGAAAAGCCTCAGGTACCTAGCGTAGTTGAGCGACAGGACGCTCGGGATTTGGAAAATGAATTGGAGAAAGTTACGCAAAATTCATCATTTAAGGATGGGTTAATTTTCTGTCTCAGGTCTAGGGTAAGAAATCTGGAAGATGAATTAGATCAGATTGTTTCGCAATCGCATCAGTCAATTAATGATTCAAAATTAGATAGTGCAGAAGCAGATACAGTTTCATCATCCAATGATTATGCTTTAGCATCTTTGGCTAAGCGAGGTGAAGCAGTAGAAGAGGTATCCCATTTTTCTTCACACTGCTCAGAGACTGAACCTGATGAAAGCAAAGTAAAAGATGAGATAGGGTCCCAAGAAGACTATCTTCATGTTGATCAAAAATCAAAAGAAAAGTGTGATAGTATCTCAGCCTCGCCCATTGTTGTATTAGGAGCTGGTAAGGCTTTAGTTGATAATCAGTATATGCTTCCGCCTATATTCGAACTCATGATACTTGCTTTAGTGATTATACTAATTATATGGTATATATATAGACGTTTTTTTCTGAACGTCTCGCTCAACCACGCTAGGTCTCCTTTTTTACACCCCACCTTCACAAAGGAAATAATTCCCAATACTATCCTAGGCAGATCCGCTTAGCTATCTCCTGCAGATGCAAAGCATCAAAGGGGGGATAACAAGGAAGAAATTTTTCCAAAATATACAATACTCATAAATAGAAATCAAGGTTATGCATTCCCAATTTGTTATATAGAAGCACAAGGAAAAAACTACCCAAGCTAATTCATGCAAAGCACCTCCGATCAAGAATTTCACGTGACATCCCGACCATTGGTCGCTCCTCTAGTCCTACGCTGATAAATATATATCTCGTTAGAAGCGCTAAGACAAATATACTTTATTAATAGTAATATGATACAATACGCAAAAAAAAAAATAATACAAATCGGGACGTTACCCATCATGCCTCAGAATGAAGTAAAAAATATTCAGAATTTTGATCAGAGCCCCAAAGGGGGAATTTTGTCGGAGAGTCATATGAGATGTATTTCCTTATACTGTTATACATTCATTCCAATATAATTATCCATTCCAAAATGCGAATTTACTAACCGGATAATTTCGCCA